CATAAGGTGAGATAATTCCCGGGACCCCCCCCCCATCCGAAAAATTTCGGGGTTCGGGCCCGGATTTTTTTGGAAATTTTTTTTCGAAAAATCGCACCACGTCCCCGCTGCCCCAATTTGTTTTTGCGATGCAACCGCCGGCGCTTGGCGTGCAAATCCCGTGTCTCAGGTGCGGCGGGGAGGACCTGGTCGAGGTTATCCGATTTTTTTTCGCGCCCCGCCCGCGGTCGGCGGCCCCGCCCCCCCTAAACCCTTCCAGGGAGGGACCCCACCCGATTTTTTTGAAAACGGGACCCGAATTTTTGGGTTTAAAAATTCGATAAAAAGTAGGAAGTCCTTATTTGCCCCAGTTGTTTTTAGGCTGCAACCACCAATGTTTTGCGTCTCTATTCCGTGTTTCGAGAGCTTTGGGGCGGACCGGGTCGGCCCTATCCAAAGTGTTTTGGGTTTTTGGGCGGGGCCGGGCGGCGCCCGCGCCGGGCCAAGGGGGGGGTACCCCCCCCCCCCTCCCCCCTCCCGGGTGGCGGACCTCCGAACGCGCAGGCCCCTCCCGTACATCATGGGGGGGTGGTGACGAGAGGGGGTCGACGGAGATTATGGAAGGTTTGCGGAGCCTGGGGGTGTGGATGCGCGCGTTTGGGGAGGCGGGGGTGGGGAATCGTGTGCGGCTCGCGTTCGCGCGTTGTTTTCCGCGCAGGCGCACCTTGCGGTGCCGATTCCCTCCTCTGTGCCCCGCCCTTTCCTCCTCCTCCTCCCTGCCCGGTGGTGTGGTGTTCAGAGTATGCCACTCTGCCACCGGGTGGGGAGGAGAAGAGGGGGGGGGGTGCGGGGTGGTGGTGCCGAGGCCCAGTCGCGCGGCCGTCGCTTTTTGTGTGACGGCTTTTTTCCACGCCCTCTCCGCCGGGGCCGTGCGTGTGTCTATTATATATAATATATATAATATGCATATGCGCTGCTGCTTCCGTAATATATATTCTCTTTTGCCCTTTGCGTCGCCGCCCTCTCGGGGGAGGGGTATATGTGTTTATCAAACCGAGAGCATATGGTGTGGGGTGTCCGTCCCCGCGCTTTTCTCTCTTCAGAAGGGGAGTCGAAACGCTGTGTGGATGCCGAGTCTGTGCGAGTTACGCTTTTCAACCGTACCAAAGAGGCAAAAACGCAAACACGGCGAATACGACGAACCAACCCATATCACACATGAGTGTGCGCCGCGCGCTGGCCCTGTCCTCCCCACTTGCGTTGGGGGACAGTGTGTTGCGTGTGTGTCGCCACCACGGACCTGTCGAT